CTTGCCTAGTCAGTAGTATTGAAAGATGCTTGTCAAACCACTGTCTAAAATGATAGATTCTTAATCATTCTTTTAGTGTTTGTATCTCTTCTTAGCTACTAAATGCCAAGGAGTAATTTCATGGTTTTTTTTTTTTTTGCTGAACAATTTTAAATGTATAAGATTTTCTCTTCATATTCATCTTTTTCCTGGTGACAGATTTTTTTATGAGAATGCATGGAGTATAATGTTACTAATTTTCTGTTGCTTTCCCCCCTTCTGTTTCAATAATAGTTGTAGTCCTTGTTTTCCAATCTTTTAATCAGAGGCTCATAACTTTCTATACCAGTTTTCCCAAGCCTCATGCCCCCGCAGATATGTTGAACTACAACTCTCAGCATCCCCCGCCAGTCATTACTTAATTGTTTGGAAATTAAGATCTTCGTTATTCTAATGTTTATTGCCATTACATGCATTGAAATAAATTAGTGAGCTATGAGTTCCCATTTCCAGACTTTCCAGATCTATTGATTTCTCCCCTATATGTCACTAGGCAACCAGTTTTTAATAATGGCTATGGACTAAGATCTCATTTTATATTGGCTTTTAAATTGTCCAGTTCATATGGAATAGTTGGTATTATTTATTGTAGTTGTTGTTGTATAGTAGAGGCGTGCAAAAATTTTCTTGTACAGAATCTATTTTGAATTGTTTTAAATGTTGAATTTTAATTATATTGTGTGAACCGTTGTGAGAGCATTATGCTAATCAAATAGTATCTAAGTGCTTTAAATGAATAAGTTTGCACATTTGCAAACATAAATGGAAATGTCTCCATATTTTCAAATAAAATGCACATCAAGTGCCTGGTTCCAGGAAGAATGCATCTGGCATGTGTATTTTAAGATACAATGCATACAGAAATGCTATTTTCAGTATTTAACTGAGAATTTTCATCTGTATTGTTAATTTTTTAAATATTGCAGAAATGTGAGATGATGGGATGGAATCACAACCACATGTAAAACCAGCAATGGACTGGGGTTATACATCTTTCACTTATAGCTGTTGGTTCATCGCTTTCACAAGTCAGTCTCCAAAGTAGAATTTACTTTCAGAGTTTCCAGAATCTAGAAACTGGTCTTTATATGCAATTATATGACTCAGTAAAGCATTGTGAGATTTTGTGTAGGAATTCCCACATGTCCATCCATTTAATTAATTAATTTATTAAAACATTTTTGTCCCATAGTGAGGTAATTAGGTACCAGAAGTAAAAGACAACAAAGCAAAAACAAACAAATCATTCAAGTCTACAGAACAAAATGCCTGTCAAAGAAGCAGCCAAGTGGGTTTCCTCTTGCTACTGTTTTGCTCTACCCCATGAATAAAACCCTCCCCACCGTAGACGTGGCAATACAAAGACAGAAAGGTGGTCTGCAGAAGAAGCACTGCATCCCCGGTCTTTGCAGCAAGACCCACAGACCATCAGCAGCATGCAAACACCCAAATGCAGCCTCTCTCCATCCCTTTCCCCCACCTGTCGCTTACCTTGCTGCATGTGCAAGCAGCAGCCCGTCTGCCCACCTGGCTGCCCACCCTAGTGGCTAGACAAGCTCTTTGCTGCAGTGCTTGGCAGTGCTGCCTCTGCTGATTCTTTGCTGCCAGCCCCCTTGTTTCTCCCACTCCTCCTCTGGCTGTGGCCAGCGACAGAGCAGCCGCCTGCTGGCTGCCCTGCATGGTGAAGCAGTGTGTCACTCTCTGCTCTGTGCACCCAAGAGCTGGGTTGCTGTTGTTCCCCCTCTTTGTGTCCAGCATCCAGTAGACTACAGGAGAACAGAGGCCGCTCCAGCAGCACCCTGTCTTTCCAGACAGAAGAAAAAGATGATCGGACATAGTTGAATTAGCCTTTGCAATTGCAGTCAAATTAGCAACCAAAGCATTATTAATCTCCCTCTTCCGCTCTTCACCATTATGTTTCTGAAAAGAGCATCAGTGAAGCTGATCTGATTAAATTAATTTTGTAGAAATGCAGCATTGGAATGAGGAATATTTTATATTCAGGCCATTTTCCATGATACCTGTCGTTGTTGTTCTTGCTAATATTACTGCTGTTGCTGCCCTACGTATGTGCACAGATGCATAGGTGTGTGTTCCTGTTTCACCCCCAGGACACCCAAAATTAGCATCTTCCCTGCTTTCATGGTACAATCCTATTCATGTCTACTCAGCATTTCACTCAGAGATGTTCAATGAGTTTTTCTTCTGGTCTAGAGTTTTACTCCTAGCTTAGGATTGCAGCCCCACTGGTTCACATAAGACCAACTTGCTTGAATGGGGTGGGGGAGAAAGAGAGAGAAGGTGGATATAAAAAGTAAACTTAAGGAACAACAGGCATGTTTAGAAGTGACTGTGGTTCTCATTCTGATTTTTGGTTTTGTTTTGCCAGAGTACTTCCCACTTGAAAATTAGTGAAGGCCACCATCAGCTGATGGAAGCTTTCCTTTCTTCACTCCTCTATTCTGTTTAAGGAAGACTATGTAGCTTAATGCAGGATAGAGAGAGCGATGATGGAGAGCTTCTGTAGCCTGCCTAATCTTGGAAGGTTAGAATCAGCCCTGGTTAGAATCTGGATGGGAGACTTGAATCCTGCACTGAGTGGGGGATTGAACCTGATAGCCTTCTAGGCATTTTCCAACTGTATTCTTCTGACGGACACTGCTGCATCTGAGGCAAAGGGCTGCTCACGTGAGTCTAGCTGAACACTGGAAAATAACACCCTGAGCTGGGAGCAACTATTGTACAATAGGAAGGCTTAGCGACATGCTTGGGACTATACTTGAACCACAGTTCTATTCCCTTGGCAGACGAGTTGGCGGAGAGCAACTTGCAGGAGCAGAGAAACCTCTCCTCCCTCTCTAAGCTGCCACGCCAGTGTGCTCCATGGCCAGGTGATTTTTTTCCAGGAAAGCCCTCCTTTGTGCCCTAGACAGTTCGAAAGGCCACTGTTGCCCAGGCCTTGTGCAAGGCTGCCTGAACTGACTGTGATTTAGAACAGCAAATGGTTTACGGAAGTGACCCGCCAAAGCCAGCAGGTCACCCCCAGCCATAGGTTCCACAGCAGGCTCTCAGTATCTTGGCGGAAGTGGTCTGGAAGGGTTTGGAGCCTCCTTCAGTCCTGAGAAGCCGGGAGCCTGTGCATCTGGCTGGACCTGGTTAGGTAACAGCAGGGCTGCTGGTGTGGGCTTAAACAGCTTGTAGGATGTCGATATCAATATAAGCGCCTTTCTTACAGCTTCTTTCCTTGCTATGCTTTCCAAAGAAAGAAGCAGTGAGTCACTTGCATCCAAACAGATGCTGGTTTTCTATCCTGAATGCCATGCCTTTACTTGAACTGGCTCTTCATAAGAACTAGCAGAAGGACAGGGCTCTCGACTCAGGAGGCAGAACAGGGTTGAGAATGGGCCCGTCTCTTGCACACTGCAGCCTGGTCAGAGAGACGTGTCTAATTCTGAAGAGGAGGCAGAGAGTGAACTTGGCAGTTTCAGGGTTACCTGGTGATGTTTCAGACAGTGTGGGAACAAGCTTGCCTGGGAAAAGGAGAGAGCTGCAGGGGAGGGGACAGAAATAGAATTCCTTGACCCCATCCTGAGATGGCAGGTGAAGCGAGTGGACCGCTGTACCTGCTGTCTGGCCAGCCACCCTTGGGTGGAGTCAGAAGCTTTGGCAAAGGGCAAGAAGGAAGGGAAGTTTCAGTTTAGATCTGACTCTGTACATGGTCAGGTGCCTCTTCCACATCCCAAAGAAATGGTTGCTCTGATTGCTACTGAGCTGTGACCAGTTAATAAAAGAACTGCACTTCTAAAGTTTCGTTTCAGTCTAATGAAAGAGAGGGAAAGTGTGAAGTGATCTGCTTGGGACAGATAGAAACACCCCATGTGACAAAGGGCTCATTTATGAGCTAAAAGTCCCTCTCACTTTGGAGATGTGTTATTGTAGCCCCAGCTTTGCTTTTGAGCTGATGCCCAGGCCTGGAGCCTTGACTGATAACATTGTCTTTACTGCTCATCATCAATGGACTATAACCTTTCATGGATGAGGCATCATTCCGTCTGAGATGTAGGAAATCCTTTACACCTGAGCCTTAGTATGTGTCACCTTGATTGACTGTGCAATCTAGAATGTTGTATCTTTGAATTGTTGTATGCTGTATGTGAATCATTAAATATCTGCTATGGAAAGTCATGCTATACTTTTCATAGATCCAGAGGGCCTGCTGGCCTGGACTGATCATGCTTCTTACAGTTTGCCTTGCTTTGATCCATGTAGCTTGGAGATACCAAAGTGGTCATTTAAATTTCTAAGTGGGCAGGTTCTCTTGGGACTCATTCTTGAGCCTATGTTTGACTCATGGGTTTAATAGGCTTGCACTCATGGAGAAGGAAGTACCAATGCAGAATTCAAGGATGGACTCAATGTCTTCTTATTTAGATTTACTTGGAACTTTTTTCTAGAAGTTTTCTTTAATTGCCTGGAATTGTTTATGCCAGGAATCATTTGAGGCCCTTGCCCCATATTCTGAACCATAGAGATTACAGTGGCAAAGCAAGTTACACTGATCTCTGATACGGTTATACCTATTGGTATTTTACTGTCTTTGAATTAAATAGTAAGCCTATAGCTAATTGGCATCAGCTATATGATTACTAGAGAGTTCCAACCTTTAAATGTTTGCTAAGAAGCATGTCTATGAACCCTGCTTTGCTACCAGTAAAAGTATACCTTGTCGGGGGTAGTTATCTTACCTTTATTTGTACCAAAAGATGAACACAGCACAGGGGTTTAATCTATTGTGAATTATATTTCTCTTTAAGATGGCATTATTTTTTGCCAAGGTTATTTTAAGCCGCACAAATTGATATTCTATTAAAATTCTTTTTTAAAATTATTATTCTTGTCCCCTTTGTGGGCTTCTTGAATAGTTGTTGTTTTATCATGAATTCATTAACTAATTTTTGCAGGTCGAACTCTGCTGGAAAAGCTGTCCAGCCAGCAGGAGAATGCGCCACAAGAAGAAGCCGAGAAGCTTTGTTCTTGGATCATTGCTATGGGACTCTTGCTCCCCTTCAGCGATTGCTTCAGAGAGCCATGTAGCCAGGGGACGCAGCAGAGCACACCAACTTTTGATGTAAGCCACAGTAGGATTGTTGGTAGTATTTCTGCAATATTTCTGTGATGATTCACGCATTCATATTCATGAAGAATTGACTATCTATTGTGAGGTGCAGGTAAAGGAATTCTTTTTTTTTTTTTTTTTTGCTGTGATATCTTTGGAAATCTCTCCAGGGCAACTTGCCTGGAACCATTTCTGTTTTCTTCTTGGCAGACTTTTAAAATTTGCCCATGATTTTCAGGATATTTAGTTGGCTGCAATTTTATTCTGTAGGAGTATTATCTCCACAGCCTATCCCCAAAATCGTGTAAACTACTTTGAGAAAGTATCTGAAAATTGGTATGCAAATGTTTGCAATGAATCAGTGAACCAACAAAACCAACTAGCACAGGTCAAAAACCATCCAGACCTAACTTCTCCTAGTATTTTTGAGTCATGTCAGTTCACACATTCAACTGCAAATTCTCAAAATTCTCTTTGGATATTAAAGAGAAATCATATGCATGCTTAGGCAGAAAAAACGTCCTGCTACTCCCAGCCTTCCCCAAGTGGCATGCCTACCTGGGGACTCCTGGGAGTTGTAGGGCTTTTCTTCTATCTGAACAGACATTGGATGGTACCATAATTTGGTTGAAATTAAGCACACCGTTATATTCATGGGTGTTGGTTACCATATTATAATAACAGATCTGAACAAATCCAACCCTACAAAATGATGATGCTCTTACCTAGCAAGTTCATTGTACCCTCATGAAGAAGGTTTATGCACCCAGTAATCCAAGGTTATTTGAGAACTAGTTTCATTTAAGTTGTATGCATTTGTGCTTCAGAGAGACAGCAAATATCCTTATTTTCAAAGGAATCTGTAGCATGATTAGAGGTACTCTTGCCCCCATCCACTGAATTTGGCAAGATTCGAACAGCAAGGCAATGTTCGGAGAATTCTGGTGATCACAAATGTTGCTCATTTGCCATCCCTGTTAACATCAGCCTCTTGTAACAGAGCAGCAGTCTCTTTCTGAGCATGAAATGCTCAGAAACAATATGGCAACAAAGATGATGCCATATCCCTGATGACATTTAGATAGGCAGTGAAAACTTTTTTTTAACTTCCATCTGATTTTTAGGCTGCAATTCTATTACGTTGCCTTTCTGTCCCTGACCTTCACCCCCTGTTCTCCTACCTTGCATTTTTTTGGCCTATTGAGAACATTCTGAGAAGGAAGGAAGGCTGAAGGTATCAGGATAGCTTGTATCCCAGCCACTTGCCAACGGTAACCTCTCCCTCCAAGGTCACTTTCCCAACCTCAGAGAGTGACTGGCACAGTTCCAGCTGGCTGCAAGGTGGAGGGGAAGGAGTGGGACACTCCAGTTCTTGGCGCTGAGGTTGGAGCGTTTGTCTCTCACATCAGATATGGAGTGTCCTATTGCTGTTTCGGGGCCAGAGGACAGCCCCCTGCATGGGCCTGAGTGGAAGATGAAGGTTATAACTCTGTTCTTCTTGGATTCATTACTCTGTTTTAATATTGTTGGTGTATTGTGTTTTGTAAACTGCTCTGAGAGAAACCTTGTTAGGACCAAAAGACAATATAGAAATAGGGTTTTAATGGTGAAGGAAATATACATATGTTATTTATAGCTTCCCAGGACATCTGAAATGTTTCATTTTCTGTCATAACACTGATTAAGACTACCATAACTCCCTACTGTTTTGTCTTCTAGCTTTTCTTTTGGCCAGTGGTTTACTTGGTGAAGGAAAGTTTCATGTTATATCCTACAAGAATGTTCTTTATTTCACCAAAATTTCCTCAGAATCCTATTTGTACTTTGTATGAGGAAGCTAATCTTTGAGGTAATGAATTGTAAAATCAAATCATAACTTCAAGTATTTTAGCTTCCCTCCAAGCCAAGAAAACAAAGTGGTTTTTTTTCTGTTCAAGACTAGAACAGAACCCCAACAGATTTAAATCTAATATTGTGTATAGAAATATATAAAAGTGAAGGATTTTAAGTAGTTTGAGTTTCAACTTGGGTTTAGGAATATTACTCAAAATAATACACCTGATTTGACAGTAGCGGCATACTTGCATAATGAAAAGATTTGTAAAATTGTAGTGGTCTTGCAATGTCAATAACATTGGCACCAAAATCAGATAAGTTGGCTTGAATATTTAGGGCTTAAGTTGCTGCTTTTGTTAATTCTGTTCCACATACATTCTGAGCCAGATATTATAGGAGAATGGGAAACCTGATGGAAATAAAATTGTGACCAAGAGTGATGCAAATATCTAGAGCAAACTAAGGAAACTTGGGCTGCAGTCCAGTGAATTTTTACTCAGAAAAGTTCTACACATGCTGGGAGTTTTAGAGCTTTTTTCTTCCTAAACATGCATAGGATTAAATCCTAAGGCTACAATGCTAGTCCCATGCAGGAATATGTCTCACAGGGGCCTTATGTCTGGCTTGCAGAGTATATCTGATATTCAAATAGTATGAAGACACAATTCATTAAAATCTATTGCAAAGATTAATTGACTTTCAACTTTGGAGGAGGTGCAGGGGAGGGCAACAGGGATGAGCAAGGGTTTGGAAACAAATCTCCGTGAGGAGAGGCTGAGAGAACTAGGCTCATTTAGCCTGGAGAACTAAAGACTAAGAAGAGATATGAGAGCACTTTCCAAATACTTGAAAGGCTGCCACACTGGGGAGGGCTGGGATCTCTTCTTGATCATCCCAGAGTTCAGGACATGAAATAAGGGGCTCAAGTTGCAAGAAGCCAGGCTCCAACTGGACATTGGAAAGTTAGAATGGAACAAGCAATGGAACTCATTACCTATGGAGGTTGTGGTGTCCCCACATTGGAGGCAGTCTGAAAGCCATCTTCCAGAATTGCTGTAACTTGGGGTATTGCAGTGTGGGTTGGACTCAATGGCTGCATAGGCCCTTTCCAACTCTAGTATTTTATGATTCCATGGCTATATGAATTTGAATAGCTTGCTTCTCTTTGCTCCCTCTAAGTGGCACTTTCCTTTAGGGATGGTGGAAGGTGTTCAGCTTCCGTGATCCCAAGCAGAAGAGCGTGCTGCAGTATGCTGTAAATATCATCCTCAGTTTCAAAGAAGCTGTGGGGAAAGAGCTTCCTAAAAAATTGAAGCCTAGTGGGCCTTTCCTCTCTCATGCAGCCAGTGTGGTTGCTACAAAGCACAGTTCTGTTTGTAGAAATCAAATACCCCACTGATGAGAAAAATAATAAAACTGCAACACCAAATCACATGGATCCAAAGTTTCTTAATAACTCAGGCTAAAGACAGTGCTCCGAAATCTACATTATTAGATTCGCGCTCTTTCCCCAGCCCACATCTGTATCTAGTATGTTGGATAAAAAAGGCAGCACCTTAACCATCCAGCAGTCTGTTCTAACCTGAGCTTTCACTTTCCCACGGCACACTAAGCGCCACACATTTTATTTTTAACACAGTTATTTTGTCTGCAGTACTTATCCCAGAAAATGATCAATAACGGAGGTTTTTGCAATTTTTAGCATAGAGGAAGTAATTGGAGCTGTAAAATTAAAAGAAAATAGTTTTCTCCTATCATGCATCCCATAATTTCCGTGTTACCAGTGTATCCCGCCCCCACTTATTCAGTACTGCTGACAAAGGCTCCTTGGAGCATCCTTCTAACCTGCTTGAGCAGGCCTGATGAATTGATTTTAGTATTATTTCTATCGCATGTACGTCTATTAACCATTTCAGGGTAGCTTCCTTTGTCATTGGGCTTTCCCAAGGCTATATATCTTGAAGCTTTGTGGAGAGATACCTGCAGTGCACTGGGTCGTAATGGCTCTGCCTTTAACTGCTTTAAGACTCCAGTAGCTGCTTATTTATTCATAAGATGAGTCTGTCTACGTCAGTAATGAAACAAACAAGATAATGGCACTCCCTGAATTCAGCTTCGAGGTAATGGACGTTTGTTCCTAGCAGTAAGTAGCATGTAGGTTTCACTTCTAACTGGTCAGGAATTATTTTTTTCTGTAGGTAGTAAGCAACTATTTTGCAAGCCAGCATAGAGGGAATCTGGAAAAGTTTAAAAGTGTGTTTGGGTAAAGATAATGCGAGGGAAGACAGTAGCTGTATGGATTAGAAACTGACAAGGTATCTCTAGGTTCTGCAGACAAATATCTTGCCTCGCCCAAGGAAGATTGCTCTGCAGTTTGGAGCTGCCCAAACTGCTGTGTAAGGGAATACATTCATTTTGTGTCAATAACTGTATATAGAAGGCAGCTAGTTTGCAAAGATGCCATGCTTCAGAAGGAGGATAGGACTCCACTTCTTTTATTCTGGGATGTTTCATTGGTGAGCCAATTCTGTATCCCGTTATTTGGTTATGATCAGCAAGTGCTTGTCATTTGGGAACATAAGGCAGAGCAGGAAACATAAATCTGCATGTAGTTTATTGAACGAATGCACAGCGAGAAAGGACGTCCTTGGAGCAGGCAGTTGAGCAAACAGGGCTAATATCGAACCGTTCCAATGAGCATTGCTATGTAAAGGAGCGGTGCTATTATTACTTCTAGATTTTAGCAGCACTGCATGTTGCATTTTGTTTCTAAAGTTTAAAAGTGTGTCTGTGTCTGCTTTAAAGATACAACAATCCAGGCATATATAAGTAGTGATAATTTTAGAAAGCAAGGCAAAATAAAGGGGGATTCACTGATCCAAATTCTAAGAGGAATTCTGAATGTCCCATTTGTCAGAAATTCAGAATAACATATATACTCTGCCAATCTGAGTTTAACCAGAACCCTGCTTTGTATATCATTAACCCTACTGTTACAGTTGACTACCATAAAGATAATTGTAGTCTCTCATTGTAATTTAAAGCGTGTTTTCTTTGAACACTAAACACTGTTTTTCCATGACTGAGAATGAAAAATTATAACGTGGGCGAATGATTTGTGACTCATATAACACACTGTTAACAATATGTTTAACTTCCTTTTCAGAAATATGTTTATTTAATGCGGCCCACTATCAGCTGTGATCCTGCTGTGCATTAGCAACATTATTATCTAAAACAACATTCTTCTGTCGATAGGACGAATGTATTGTAGGACTAAGCAGTACAATTCATATCTCATTAGTCCTTCCATAAATTCTTTGGGGCAAGTTCCCCTGTTACACATGTGGGACTCAGGCGGCAGCCGTCACTGGCACAGGGCCATTCAGTTAGACCATGACCACCAAGGCATTAAAAAAATCCAATTATTAGACGTGTTATGAGATGAAATATGAAAGTAAGTAGCAGCAGAGGTTTGTTAAATGCTCCTTGCATTTGACTCTCCAAAATATGTAATATTTTCACTTTATTTCCATTTTCTAAATAATTATAGCAAGACCAGCTTTATACCTGGGCTGCTGTCAACCAACCCACACATTCCTCTGATTATGTTGAAGGAAGATTTCCAAGGAGAATTCCATCGGTGTGGCCACCACCAAAACCTCCAGATGAAGAGCAGAGAGTGAAACATGCCGAAAAAGGTATGTGCTTTGAGGGGTTAAGGTGATGTCTGTTGAAGCTGGAACTGTTTTAAGCAAAATGGAAGACTGCACATTTCTTTAAAGCTGGAGCCGAACCTTCATAGCTTATCCTTAGACATTTTTATTTTAATTATTCCTCATTATCTGATTAAATTAAAGAGAGAAAATAAAAAACAACCATTTAACCCCATGCCATAAGTTAATAGCTGTTGCGTCAGCAAGAGTCACAGCTTACCATTGCATTCAGAGTCTATCAAAAACTGATTATTTTTGAATGCTTGTGATATCTTCAAGCCAGAGTTTTCTGTAGAAGCAAAAATGACAAAACTGAGGTTATCCTACTTGAGACACATCATAAGACAGCAAGACTCACTGGAGAAGACAATCAGGCTAGGAAAAGTTGAAGGGAGAAGAAGGGAAGGAAGACCAGATAAGAGATGGGTTGATTCTACAAAGGAAGCTTGAATTTAGAGCAGCTAAGCAGCGCAGTCATGATAGGACATTTTGGAGGGTGTTCATTCATAGGGTCACCATAAGTCTTGACAACAACAACAACACCAACAACAAGAGAGCTTTGGGTGTTGGGTAGCATAGAAATAAATTTTAACATTGATTTTCAAGGTCAGACAGGCTTTTTATACAGGACCCCCAAATAAAACCGATTGCTTTCATTATGGCAAAGTAAAGAGGGTAAAGACTGCAATTGGAAGCATTTATCAGAGAGGGAGGTGATAGTCAGTTCTGAACTGTGAAAGTGAAGTTGCTTAATTCCTTATTCTAACAAACACCTTATTTTTTCATTAGTTATCTCATAGGATAAGCAGATTGCAAGAGGAATGTGGTAAAGAGGCAGTCACAAATAGCTGAAATTAAACTATCTGCAGTGTTAATAAAGGAAAATAACTTGGCATGCCAGCCTTTAGACCAGAGTAATTCTAACTTTTGCAGTTGTGAGATGCCTGTGGGAACTGACCTGTTCAGAGGGCAAGCAAGCAAATGCACACAACCTTGTGGTACTGCTCAGCTCACTCTCAAATTGCACTGCATAAACGAGCTTTTCTCCTTTTTGGGAAGGGTTGATGTCAATTTCCCCACTGAAGCCACTGGCAGCTCTCACTGGTTGTACTCTGCTTTCAGAAATACGGCAACCGTGTTGCACTTGTGAGGTTCTTGTGCACTTTCCCTTTGAAACCATTAAAAAACAAACAATATATTTTGAAGGAGAGCTCACCTTTGCAAAATGCGATGCTGCCCAAGGCTCCAGTCGCCCAGCAACTTTTGCGGAACAGCCTGGCACTGAGCCCCTGCAAGCATTTTCCCCACGTGCGGCTGCTAGGCTCCGGGAGTGGGGGCCTGCATCAGGTGGCGAGAAATGTGTGGAACGGCAGCATGGTGGGGGGGAGAGATTGGGGCTGAAGTGGGTGTCAAGAAAGAGAGAGAGAGGGGGGGAGAAGGAGGGAGAGAAAGGCAAATGAAAGAAGGCAAAATTGGTTGGAGGTGTATTGGCAGTGGGGAGATTAATGGACTGAACAGGAGTTGATTTGGTGGTAATTTTCCTATTGATTTAGGGAAAGAAGCTAATTTAAAAAAATGTATTTAGAGCCGATTTGGGAAATTAATTGGACTGCCTTCTCTGAACTGAGTCTGCACTGCAGACCTGGGGTCTGCCTTATACTCAGGTTTTTGGACAAGTTACTTTTTGTTAAGCCTCACCAGGCTGACTTTGATGGGTAGTTTACATAGTGCTCCTTTATCCTTACAAATACTGTATGAGTTAGTGACTGAAAGTTTGTGGCTGGCCTCAAGTCCTCTATGGAGTTAAATGGCTGAGTGGGGACTAGCATCCAGATCTGAGTTCCGATCTAACACACTCACACACTAACCACTATACCACACTGCTGTCATATCAGTTCTGCCATTTGGGGAATAGGATGCTTTTTTATTTATATCTTGATTTTTTTTCCCTTATGGAGTTTCAAATCTCAGATATTGATACTTTCAAAGTAATTTGAAATAATAGCCCTGTATTAACACCTGCAGAAAGCAGAAACCTTTTTGTATGGGTTGGGGGATTCGCTCATAGTGTTCCTTAAAGTAGGTCTCTTTTCACAGGACCCCCAAGACAAGACTTTATGTCAAACTTCCTCAGCCTAGTACCCTCCAAATGGGTTGGACCAGCATGGGCATTGGTCCTGCTGGACAGGGAGAGTGGAAGTTGTAGCCCAAAACATCTGGAAGGGAACAGTTGGGGAAAACTAAATGGCATCGCCTTGATTTACAAGCGCATACTTAAGTTTGCATTTCCTTTGGGAGCAGTTGATCAGTTAATACAAATCTACTCCCTGTGCTGCAGAATTCTGGGAATTAGCAAGTTCAGAACTGCCCCTGTCTAAGTTGAATAAATCAAGGATAGGTTGCAACATCTCTGAGACTCCTCAACCTTCTTTTCTCTCGGCTATTGCACACTGTTTGTTCAGTCTTTCCTCACATAGTTGCATTCTAAACCTTTAATCTCAACCTTTAACCTAAGCCTTAATTCTAAACCCGAGCTTTCCTTTTTGGTTATTGATTTTTAAGTGCTTGCAACTCTTGCTCTCCCAGGAAATATTAGCATCCGTAGAAATTTATTTAACACAAATATTTCCTTTCACTTCCTACTGTAACAAATCATCCTTTCCACACAATTGGACATTATGGCCAACACGCTGCTATGGCCCTCGGAGAACAGAAGGTTTCTTTTACAGGGTCATAACTGTAGCTTTGTAAGACAACTCAGAGTGTGATAAAGGAAGAGTGGAGGACCAGAAGGGGATTTTGCAGTTCAAACAGAAGAATGGAAGCAAAAGCCCATCTAGCAAAAAAGCAAAAGGAAGGATGAAAAGGCCAACATGGCCTCTGCTACTCCTGCTGGGTCTGTATTAGATGCCCGTAAGTCTCCGAGCTTGGTGGCTTATGGGCATCCTGTCAGGAGTTGCTCAACCCAGCAACAGACACAAAGGGAGAAATGCACATCCCTAACCCAATACAAGTGTATGGCTTGGAAATATGGTTTTTATTTTGAAGTACAATTGGTTTCTGATAGCGTTCAAGTTCTTTATTTCAAGATGTTTTTGCTACTTGCAGCAATAACAGGCAACTCTGAATTTTACTTTCCAATCCAGAATGGGAAACTGCTGTTGCTAAAACAGAGAGAGAACGTGTAGAAGACATCCAGCAAGTACAGGTAAGACCTTGGTAGGACAAATCTACTGTGCAATATTTATTTCTGAACACTGACAAAAATAACACCATGTGTGTGCATCTCCTGGCAGTGTTTTCAGCTCTAGAAAATTCAACACTGCTGAATTCATGAACAGAAAGCATTGTGTTTGGCTGCAGAGAGATGAGAAGTGAAACGAAAGAGGTGTTGAATGGGGACGCTTATTAGCTCGGCAGGCCATTACGTGATGCTGCAGTCATCAAGAGCCTTGTGCTCACTCCTTGCCATATTGAAATGGCAAGTGACATGAAATGCCCTGGATTTTTTGATTTTTTTAGTGGCAGCCACTGGCAAAAGTGCAGTATGGGAACAGTGGCTCTGGCATACAGGGAGGGTGAGAAACCTCCCTTGGCCACACAGGCCTCCTTGCAGCCTCAACTCAAACAACCCTTGAAACTGTATTTGCTTTGGGAGTTGAGCTTCTGTTCATGCCAACTTTCCTTGTGAAACAAATAGCAGCTCAGGGACAATTTGTGGAAATGCAGATGTGAGTAACAGTGATTTCTCTAGCAGAAGCACAGCCTTTTATTAGAGCTTACCAGGTTTGCAGGAATCAAAGCAAGTTTCTTAATGAGATCTGGGAGAAGCCTCTGCCCATGTGAAGAGTTTAACCCACTGAAACATCCTCTCCATCCTCCCTTTCAGGAAAGCCTCAGGGTGACTCCTGTTGCTGGAGGGCCGGATAGCAGGAACTCCAGACACTTTGTTAATGGCCCTGTCATTTTGGTTGCCACCTCCTGACCAGCTCAAGGAAGTACCCTCAATTTCTTCTGTCCACCTTTTCTGAAACCTTTCCTCCTTTTCCAGGACAGGCTGGGTTTTGCTCCCTGTCCAAGAATCTTCACTTTGTAACCTTGGTGCTGCAGCATCACCTGCCCATCTTTGCCCTTTTGCTGCCTCCTCAGAAGCAGGTGAATCTCCTTGAGGAAATGGTAGCTTGAGAGAGTTTGGTCTCCCCTCTGTAGTGGGGTATGTACAAGTAACAACAGTCTGGGACCAGGGAGCACTTTTCTATGGCCACTTTCAACAGAAAGGCTTTCACTTTCACACATCCTTTATTGTTCAACTGATACATTGTGGCACCCATTTTCTGCAAATCTTCACTCTGACTTCTCAAGTCTAGAACACAAATGTTCAGATATCAAATAAAATATATAAGGAGCAGACTCTGAAGTGAAGCAAGTGATAATGGAATGTTAATACTGGTGATAGTTAATCTGAAATTTTAAATAGAAGGGAAAGCATCTCTTGACAAGGCCTTTATGCCTTTCCTCTACCTCATTCACGGAATTTTGCAGTGAATAGGCAGATGATTTTTCTTCCACTGATTACCCTCCCATGTTTTCCCACCACTCTTTCCATTCTTTCTGACAGCAGAAAATCCGCTAAGGACGAAAAGAAAGAATAGCTGCATTATGTTTTTGGATTTGTAGTGCCATCCAGCTGGAACCTCCCAGGAGAGAAAACAGGCATTATTACAGCTTCTTTCTGAATGCCTCTTGTACTTCTTTGCAACTAACGTGGGGCTTAGAAATGTTACAGGTGTTAATATCTTGACCTACCCACTTAAATAAAGTGAGGTTACAGCCTAATAGGTGATGATATGGAACAAAGCGCTATGCAAGTGAGAGACAATTGGAGAAGCCTATTCTTGATGCTCCCTGATGTTCTGCCATGACCTGGCTAAATAAGCAAGTTGAGATATAGACTATCTCCTTTCACATATCCTATACCATTCAGCCATCTAATTGCTTTATTCCAACCACTTAGTATTCTAATCTTTATGTAGAATTTCCATTCAAAGTGGATACATTCCTGCATTAGTTTGCTCATTAGACAGAGGGTCATTCTAAAGGTGAGAGGTTACACTGGTCAGGAGTAGAAAGCTGAAACTGATTGTGAGGGCTCAGAGGCCGCCTGTCTAAGGCAGCGCGTTCCTCCCTGGTTTAAGGAGCAGCTGCTGTCTCTTCAGCCTTGTATATCTGACCTTGCCATCTTGGTTGTTTCTTAATTCAAATTTTCATTTTTTTCTCTCATCATTTGTTTCTGTCTTTAGTGACAGCTAAGGGAGGAGATTTCCCAGTAGGAGAACAGGCGAGGTGGGAGGCTCCCTTTCCCCAGCAGCCATGGTCAGGGGTGGCACTGACTCTCTTCTCCAAGGAGGGCTGAGAATCCAATGCTGCTCTGTGCCTTTTAGGGTTGCCCCTTCTTCCTTTCAGGGCTTGTCAGTATGACTAACAGGCGTGCACTGCAGGGACTATGCCACCCTGTCAACCTGATGCGGGAGAGCCCTGAGTCTTCCACTGGACTTTTCCGTTTTGGCAGAGCCAGTCTCCCGGGCCATTCTTGACTCAGTAAATGTGGTTACGGTATTGTCAACTTTGAAGTTACCTCTAGTAATCATTTAGTTTTCCATCCTGACTATTCAAACATTCTAAAAATCAGAAACATAAGCAAGCAAGGAGGAGAATGCTGAGTCTAACTCCTTCGCCATCATTGCTATCACCTTCTACACATGGAGGATTTCTCAAGCAGAAAGCCTTGTGTGCATCCTTGGAGGTTCTCCACATAATGTTGAATGCTAGAAAATTGCATGGAGAGGCTCTGCTGCAATGGGAGTCTCTTCCCTTTAGGAAGCTGGCTTTCAGATGTGGAAAGCAAAAGAAATGATGATGTGGAGGCGGACCTCGCAAGCTCACCCTTCCTTTTCTCAGCTTTGGGTCACTAAATTGTCTATTAGAAATCAGAAACATCTGCCAATAGCATCACATGGCTATTCCACTGCAACCAAGAGACAGCTCTTCTTCCAGCAAATGTGAGTAGAAAAGGACATGGTGCCTCTCCCCACTCTCCCGAGGAAAGAAAATCAGGTGACTTCTTTTGCACTGTACCTTTTACTGTAAACTCAAAAAAAAAAAATGGAGTAAAGGCTTCTCTTTCTCTTGATCAACACTTTAGAGCAAGAGATTGTGGCAATAATCTGCTGCCGTCGCCTCCATGGTGTGTGTGCATGCAAGTGTGTTCTCATTTGGTGCTAGTGGATGCTTCCCTTTTAGCTTACAGCTTTGGGGCCATCAAGAAGACATGGGTTAACCTCTTCCCTGTGCTGGGTTCCCTGTGACTCCCCACGCCATGGCAAAACAAACAAATGCAAGTGACATATTTAGTTTTGTGTTCTTCGGCACTAAATGATAGTCCCTGTGTACTCCGTTGCACCCCCTTTCCTTAACTTATGTGTCAGGAAGAAGCAGTTTACTCATCCATATGGTACAGTTTAGTTAACAGCATGCTGTTTTCTGATCTTGATTAGTCTCACAATAACCCTGTTCAATAGGAATTAGAGACTGAGACTGTGGCTTGGCCTGGGCCATGTGCTGACAGTAGCCTTGGACACTGAAACAAACAGGAGGAGACGAAGCACATATTGTTCCTTCTATTGCTTGTTTTGGATATCTGCAGCTGAGATGGTGTATCTCTGTTTCCTCACACAGAAAGATTTATGAGGTCACCATTGAATATCTGAAGAATGGAGCATGCTTGTGCTTTCTCTGCTCTGTTAATTTCAAATGTCTGGTGCTGTTCTGAGTTCATAGCTTACTTAGATTCTGACTATATTTCCAGTACACAAATCATTGTTCTGTTTTTCCTATTTGTTTCATTGTATTTTATAGAAGTACTCCAGTATATGATTTTAAGGGGTGTGCCCATCCCTATCAAATTAATTTAAGTATCCAGTTCTTGCTGTGTTCCACTTTCAGAAATTGGGCCATGATTATGGAGTTCTTGAATGGCTTTCTGGTCACAGATATAAATCTCTTTCAGAAACCTGTCATCAAGAAGTGCTTAGACCTTTCTTGTGCCATAAAGTTTCCAAAGAAGGCAACTGGGTTGCTGATTGTTCCATGCAAATTGTAGACCCTGCTGGAGTCCAGTGTACCACCTAGGAATTTGGCAGGTCTTAGGCAATGAAAACAGATTTATTATTTTATTTTCCAAGAATATGAAAAGAAAAATATTGACTTCGGAAATCTCATGCATACAACACATTTTGCAACATGATGAGAAAAACTTTCAGCTATATCCCTATTTTTAGATGATAGCCATGATAGCAAAGCCTGTTATATTTTTAATTTATGTGATGCATCTAGTCCTTTAAGACCCTCCATACATAATCAGCATGTACAGATAGCCATCGTGGTTTGGTTGCAATACTGCGCACAACTGGGCATTGAGAAAAATCCAGTTAATTTTGATGGAAACTGTGTGGGAGTAGATTTATGCAGGAAGCAAACCTTTTAATTGGATTTTAGGAGCACATCTAAAACATTTAATTTTACTGATTGTCATGAAAGTATAACCTATATTTCTACAGCATTGCACCTCCATGTGTTACTCTTTTTAAAATGCAGCAATATGAGAGCTCTGCTAAAACAAGTTTATTTATTTAAAAAATTACTATGCCGCCCCCATTGCAACAAAGCCTCAGGGCGGCTCACAATATCCATAAACATAAAAATACAATCAATAATTTAAAAACTATAAGTTTTGAAAGGTTATTTCAAAAGAATATTAATTGTGATTAATTTAAAATATAGGGGCCTCCTTGTCACCCAAGTTTGGACTAAACTATAACTTTGGAGGCAATTAGCAACTTGATGCATGGGAACAGGCAAATGTGGTGAGGGGACAAACTAGGAACATGTTCCAGAATGAATCCCTGTGGCCACTTTTTTCAGGAAAAAAACATTCAGTTCAAGAACAACGTAATTCTACTTGTAATTTAGCAGTAAGTCCCATACAGCCTAAGTGGCAGCACATTCTTATGCATGTTAAGTAACAATCCTTTCCACTGCAGACCATGGTGAATCTGGAACTAAATGCTGGTCCCCAACAAAACCTCACAGTGGGAGATTCAAGAGCCATGAAAGGAAGCATAAGCCATGCAATTCACTTCCACAAGAGGA